ACTAATGAGCAAAGAGCAGATGGGCTGTGGGAGGATATCAAGAACATCATGCAGGAAAAAATGAAGTGGGTCAGTCTAAAGACAGAGGAGGAAGAAAAAATTCCCAAGATGGATGTCAGAAAGAACCGTGAATATTGCACTAGAGTGCCAAGAAGCCAAAGCAAAATATTATAATATGCAAAGAGCTGGAGTCAGAAAATCAAAGGGACAGAAATTGCTCAGCATTTCTTAAGTTGAAGGAACTGAAGAACAAATTCAAGCCTTGAATTACAACACTTAAGGATGATTTGGGAAGAATATTGAAAGATCCAGGAAGCATTAAAAGAAGATGGAAAGAACCTACAGAGTCATTGTACCAAAATGAATTGGTAGACACAGAAGAATTTCATGAAACAATGTATGAGCAAGAGCCTGTGGTGATGAAGAAGTTCAAGCTGATCTGAATGAACTCATAAAAAACAAGACCACAGGAATTAATGGCATTATCAATTGACATATTTCAACAAACAGACACTGCCCTGGATGTGCTCACCAAGTTGTGCCAAGAAATCTGGAGGACAACCACTTGGCCAACTGACTGGAAGAGATCTGTATTTGTTCCCATTCCATAAAATGACCTGACAGAGTGCGGAAATTATCGAATAATATAATTAATATCGCCCACAAGCAAAATTCTGATTAAAATTATAAAAAAATGCCTGGAATAGCACATCAAAAGAGACCTGCCTTAAGTACAGGCTGTGTTTAGAAAAGGCTGTGGTACTAAGGATATTATAGCTAATGTCAGATGGATTTTGGCTGAAAGCACAGAGTACCAGAGAAATGGTTATCTGTGTTTCATTGACTATGCAAAGGCATTTGACTGTATGGATCACAACAAAGTGCACCTAACTCTGAGAAGAATAGGAATCCCAGAACACTTGATCATGCTACTGTGAAACCTATACTTGGACCAGGAGGAAGTCATCAGAACAGAGCAAGGAAACACTGCATGGTTCAAAATTAGGAAGGGTTTATGCCTGGGATGTGTCTTATCTCCATACATTTTCATTCTATATACAGATCATCCAGGAGGCCAGGCTATGAGGAGAAATGTGGCATCAGGATTGGAGGAAGACTCATCAACAATCTGCATTATGCAGATGACACAACCTGGCTTGCTGAAACTGATGAGGACCTGAAGCGCTTACTACTAAAGGTCAAGGACTGCAACCTTCAATGTCGATTGAAGCTCAACATCAAGAAAACAAAGATTCTCACCAGTGTGCCAATTGGCAGCACCATGATAGATTATGAAGAAACTGAGATTGTTAACAGTTTGTTTGCTTGACTCCACAATCAATACTCTTTGTACAAGCCGCAAGGAAATAAAAAGACGAATTGCACTGGGAAATTCTGCTGTCAGAGACCTCTCCAAGGTACTGAAGATCAATGATGTCAGTCTGAAGATTAAGGTGCACTTGACTCATGCCATGGTCTTTGCAATTTCTTGATATGCATCAGAAAGCTGGACAATGACTAGGGATGATAGAAGTAGAATTGATGCCTTTGAGCTGTGGTGCTGGAGAAGAGTATTAAATATAACATGGACTTCCAGGAGAACAAACAGGTTCATCCTAGAGAGGGTGAAACCAGGCCTCTCCTTGGAGGTAAGGATTCTTAAGCTTCATCTGACATACTTTGGCTATATTAGAAGGAGGTACCAGTTTTTGAAGAGGGACATTATGCTTGGGAACGTGGAGGGAAAGCACAGGAGAAGAAGATCCTTGATGAGATGGATTGATTCAGTGTCTGGGATAATGGGAGTAGGCATGTCAGAGACAGTAAGATTGGCACAGGATAGAGCAGGATATAGGTCTGTTGTATATAGGGTAGTTATGAGTCTCAAGTAACTCAACGACACATAACAACAACCTGTCACAATCCTGCAAGACTTGGAAAGACACTCATACTTTACTAAGGAAGAAAAGAAACTAAGAGAAGCGAAACAGCAAGGATGATGAGAGCCTACCTATGGGAGCCACTCTGAGGCTTGAGCAGCTCCCAATGCTATGTTAATGGTGAAGCAGCAGATAAGTGTCTAAAGAAAGTGGCAGTGAGGCCAATGTGGCAGTCTATAAGATTGTGTGATGGTTCCTGATCAAATATTTAGCACCAGGATAGCATACAACAGGAAAATAAGAGGGACATCAGCCATACATATGGCTACTGTATTTGAAAACACAGATACAGAACTTTTGCCATCACTGCAAAGTTAAATTGTCGGTGCTGTTCTAAAAGCTGGCACTAATTTCCATCATAAGCATTTCTCTCTGCTATTACCTCTGTAAAGGAGCTTTAGTGGCTTATTGGGAAAGTGAGGCATTCTCTTGGGTGATTTACTGCTTGTAAAATCCACTGGAGGGTCAGCTGTGTATCAGCTCTGACCCATAAATGATACAAACATGTACAACTACTTCTGGAAGACAAGGCAGAACTCTAAGGAATGGAAATTAATATCTTACTAGTGTCTGTAACGTCTTTTTTTTTTTTTAGAGAGAGAGGTAGAGGATCAGTGAAATAAAAGATCCCTCTTTTATTTTTCTTTTTTTAATATTTTAATTTATTTTTCATTTCAATGAACATCTACAGAGATTTTGGAATTCCATTCATTCATTGTTGTAACGTCTTTGAAGGGCCAGAGAACATTCTGTTGTTAGGCGACACTGAGTTGACTTTAACTCATAGTGACCCTATGAACAACAGATCTGAGACTTGCTCTATCCTGCACCATCTTCACTATCCCTGAAAGGCTCAAACCCACTGTTACACTGTGTCAATACATGTTCCTGAGGTTCTGCCTGTCTGATTTTCCATCTTTCCAAGCATGATGTTTATTCTGCAAGAATTGGCCTCCCTGACAACATGTCCAAAGTATGTGAGACCTTCAAAAACAGACTTGTTTGTTCTTTTAACAACCCAAGGGATGTTCACTACTCTTCTCCAACACCACAGTTCAAAAGCATCAATAATTCTGTCAACTTTCAGATGCATAAGAAACAAATGAAAAAAGAAAACATAACCATTAGCTTGACTCAGGTGTACCGTAATCTTTAAACTGACATCCTTGCTCTTTAGCACTTTGGAGACATCCTTGACAACAGATCTTCCCAATACAACATGTCTTATGATTTCTTGGCTGTTGTTACCATGGATGTTGACTATGGATTTAAGTAAAATGAAATCTTTCAGAACTTCAATGTTTTCTCCACCTATCATGTTGTTGTCTATTGGTCCAGTGGAAAGGATTTTTACTTTCTTGATGTTGAGATGTAATCCATATTGAAGGCTATAGTCTTTGATCTTCTGCAGTAAGCATTTAAAGTCTTCCTCACTTTCAGCAAACAAGGTTGTGTCATCTGCATAACACAAATTGATGAGTCTTCCTTAAATCCTGACGTGACATTCTTCTTCATGTAGTCCAGCCTCTCAAATTATGTGGCCAGCATACAAATGAAATAGGTATGGAGAATGGATACAACTCAAATCACACCCTTTAATTTTAAATCATGAAATGTTCCTTTGTTCTGTTCAGATAACTTCTTCTTAGTTTTTTGTATAATTAAAAGTTCTGGGATTCTTATTCTTCTTAATGTTAGCAGTAATTTGTTACAATTTTCACAGTCAATAAAACATGTATTAATATCTTTCTGCTTTCAGCCAAGATCCACTTGATATCAATGATGATGTATCTGATGCTTGGCCTCTTTTGAATCAGCTTTTATTTCTGGCAGTTCCCTGTCAATACACTTTTTCTGTTATTTTTCTGGTTTTGTTTTTTAATAACCTTCACCAGAATTTTACTTGCATGTGATTATTAATGATAGTTTGACAATTTCCACTTTCTGTTGATGATCTTTTTTTTTTTTTTTTGGAATGGGAACAAGTAAGGATCTGAGTCACTTAGCCAGGTAGCTGTCTTCCATATTTCTTGGCTTAGATTAGTGGGTACATCCACTGTGGTATCTGTTTGTTGAAATATGTCAACTGGTACTCCAGCAAATCCTGGGGCCTTATCAGAAAACACTTTGTTGCTGTGTGCCATCAAGGTAGAACTGACCCATAGATGACCCTCCAGCCTGTTTTCAGTGGCTATAAGTTGCACAAGAGGAGTTTGCTCATCCTGCAAAGCAATTTGTGGATTCGAACTGCGTGCCTTTGGTTTTGCAGCACAGCTTACCATTAGGCTACCAGTTGTTGTTGTGTGACACTGAGTTGGAGCTGACCCATAACTAACCTTCCAGTGGTGCCATGGTTAAAGTACCTATATACCAATCAAAAGGTTCATGATTCAGAACCACCAGCTCTGCAGGGTTAAAGATGAGTCAATCTGCTCCATAAAGATTCCAGCCTTGTAAACCCCATTGGGTAGCTCTCTTCTGTCCTACAGCTTGTCTGTGAGTTGGAATTGCATGATGGCAACTAGTTTGGTGCATTTTAGGCACTCTGGTCCCTGTGGCAGCAATAGGCAACATACAAATGAATGGGTGTGCTTATGTGGCTTTAGTTAAAAAAACAAAGAGAGTGGAAGAACATGTTATTTATTGATCCTTGTGTAAGAGGATTTGCAGAACCATCTTCAGAATTCAATGGCATCAGCGGAAATCACCTCTTATATTGCTATGAGTCAGGACACATAATTTCCTCTTTATTTTCTATTACACATACCCAGGGAGAACTTCTGTGGTCATCTATTTGGTAATCATTACCTCCATGACTTGTTGCTCTAGCTAATCAAATAAAAAAGTTATTAAAAAAACCAATCAGCACTGTGAAACATCTAATTTTATTCTGCAGTATTAAGCATGATTATTAAAATCAGTACAGAAAAATAAGTACATTAAGTGAGCTAGCTGTTTTAGTATTTGCTGTTTGTAATTCTGTTAAGACAATGATTATTAAGACAGCATTAGTAAGTCAAGGCTGAAGTGGAAAGATGAGATCTGGATATCCTGTATACTCTACTGGCCTCCAAAGGCATTCAGAGGATCATCAAATATGTTGGAAACTTTGTGTTCAGCTCTTGATTCAGGTACTGCCTGTGGAGACCGGCTTTTTGGCTTGGTTGCCTTGGGCTGAGTACCAGAGAAAATATCATCTTTAAGAAGTTGGGGGTGGGGGGGAGAAAGAAGAGAAAAAGTTACTTAACCAGTGAAACAAGTGTTTTAAGACATATGCATACAAACCATGACAGACCTGGTTTTAGTGGCAGTACTTAAGGTCCTTTGGTGGTGCTGGTTGTTTGTATCCAGCACAACATCCAAAGGTTGGTAGTTCAGACTTGCTCAGCAGTACCAAGACCTGCTTTCTTTAAGACTACTGCTAGGCACGGAGACAATTTCAGGTCATTAGCTCCATGTGACAGAGTAAAACTGCCAATAAGGTTTTCTAGGCAGTCATTTTTATAGGAACAGATCACAAGACCTTTAGCAGCCACATGTTTAACCATTACATTACCAGGAAATCAATAGTTACAACAACTGAACTGAGTACCAAAACCCACTAATATGGAAGTTGAGTCTCTAAAATTCTAGTACCAGCTCTGCTACCAAGCTTTTAGATCACATACAAATCATAGGATCTCTTTGTTTATATGTGCATACATGTGCATATACACAGGAGAGGAAAAGGTGGAAGGACAGCAGGATCCCCACTCCAGTGCTTGATCTTACTATCTTTATACACAAGATTTTAAAAGGCCATAAAAATAAGCAAAGAAAACTCCAATATAGGAATCACCCTCCTTCACTCCTTCAGAATAAACGTATCTCAATGCTAAGAATGTAAGAATGTGACAATATTCATGTAGTGTTTTACTGACCACACATAATTAACTACATTAATCAATATTAATGTTATAAAACTAAGTTTCTATAAACGATTGTATAAAAACCCACTATTTATAAACTTTCACTCAAAAAAGGAATAAAAACCAAATGAAATAATAAAATCTTAACTCTGATGTAGTAGTGTTACTGTTTGAATTCTAGCCTATAGAGATTTTTAGCATGTACACATAAAATTATATATGTAGATGTTAAAGACCACATTATTCTAATAGTGAAAATTTAAAAACAATCCAGATGGACACTAACAGGCTAATATGAAAAAACCTGAAACCTACAAGATAAGGGAGTAGATCTCTGCACTGACATGAATGATGTCTATTAAGTAAAATATTAAATTACTTAAAAGAAACAGCAAAAGTAGTGTAACACTGACACTCACTGCTGTCAAGTCAGAACCAAGGTACAGCTGACCAACAGAGGGTTTTCAGAGCCTGTAAATCACAGGGATGGAGATTGCATCCTTCTCCCTTGAAGCCACTGGTAGATTTGAACCGCCAGAGGCAGTTCACCTCAGGGCCAGAAGTGCGACGTCATAGGGACTACACAAAGAATAGCATACATATAATCCCTTTTTTAAAAAAAAATGTACATAATGTGTTCACATATACCAGAAATGGTGAGCAGGGCACAGAATAGGTCCAAGTTCAGATCTGTTGTTCTCAGGGTCACTATGAGTTGGGGTCAATATGACGGCACATAGCAACAACAACATACCTATTTATATGTATATAAAAACATATATTAATGTCATCATGCCTGAAAGGATAAATGCCACACTGTTAATATCTTGGGGCAGTAGTTCCCTTATTTACACTTTCTAAACTGCAGTAATCTACACTCTGTCAGCCATCTCTGTAGGGAGTTGCATGCCAAGAGGCAGCACTTCTCTGGTGCTTCCTCTGGTGGTTCAAATTCATCAGCTCCTCACTGAGAGAAAGAGGAGCAATCCCCTCTATGTGTTTTACAGTCTCTGAAAATCAGCTGAAGGATGAGTTAACTCTGATGGGAAGGCAATGAGAGAGCATGTAGTAATAAGCATGTATTATTTTTTGGTAATAACAAAATCTTTTCTGTATCCAATGTGGTATGAAGCAAGTGTGCACAGTACACAACTGGCTGTGAGAAGATACACAGTGGTGACAGAATAGTCATTAGCTGTCTTCTAGTCTACAAATGGGAGAGAAATGAGGGAACAGGAACTATATATATATATAATTTGGCTTAAGACCACATCTTATGCAATAAATGTAGAAGCTCTACATTTAAAGTTATTGGTTGACTATCTAGTCCACTAGTAAAATAAAAGGCTATACTATGGAGGGCAAGTAAATATTTTTTACAGATACAAAAACTCATTTTTCTGCATTCAGTAGCACTACCCTCTAAGTCTCTGACTCACTTATGTGCTCCAGCTAGAACTCCAATTCAGCCAACTGCGTCACATTTAAGTCACACCATTGTGTTAACATTTGGGTAGTTTATGGTTCTTCTTTCATAACATGACAAGGTTGTAAATTTTTTAAATTTTATGCTAGTCTTCTATATTTTGACAAAGATTTGGCTCACACAATACATGTATTGATCAAAACTCAGAAAATATACACTTGTCACAGATTAGTGCTGACGTAAAAGTTATTTATACCTCTAAATTTAAAGGTAAAATTCTGGGCTCCTTCTAATTTCTTGCTGTCGAACCATCATACTAAAACGTTACTTCAGTTAAAAGAACTAGTCCTTATGGAAAGAAGCCCCAAATAAGCAAAGCACTCCTTAAAAATAGAAAAAAAGTAGGAGGCATCTCACTCCCTGCTTTCAAATCCTACTACACTGCTGTGGTGGTTAAGACAGCATGGTACTGGTACAATGACAGACACATAGATCAACGGAATAGAATTGAGAACCCAGAAATCAGCCCATCTACGTAGGGTCAACTTATTATTATTATTATTATTATTATTATTATTATTATTATTAATTTTATGTTTATTGGCAGTTAGCTTATTTTCCCCATTGGATTTGGAACAGAATTAGAAGACAAATTATTTTAGGGTAAATATTGAGCTTTTGTTCTAGAAATGAATACTAAAAATGGGCCTTGGAGAAGCAGCAGAACTGACGAGATACTGAGGATCTTTAAGGCAGTGATGGTGTTGATAGGAGGCCAGACTGAGGTGGAAACTAAGAGATGGAGTGGTTTTTCCTGAGATTAGGCTCCAGAGAGGCCTGGCCTCTGGGTGGAGGCTGAGAGAATGTGATTATCTCATCACCCACCAGGGATCAGGACTAAGTAACACTCAACATGACAGCAGGTAGGGGAAGAGGTGAAGACAGGAGATAATGATTCTTAGTCCTTCTTGCAGAAGTTGAGACTTTGGAGACATTAGAAAAGTTTCCAGCGAGGGTGTCAGATTCCTGTATGGCTCCTCCCTCTGGTAAGACCTGCTGCCTTCACTTCACTACAGACCTCACCATTCCTTATTGTCTCCTAGTTGGCAGCTGCATGCCCACTGCTGTTTATTTATCCCTGAGTTTATGCTGCTATTTCTTTTTTTAAAAAATTTTTAAAAAAATAATTTTAATGAACATTTACAGAGAATTTGGATTTCCATTCATTACTTGCTGCACTGCTCTACCTCGCCCAGCCCTCTCCCCCCAACCCCCCAGTTTGCTCCTCTCTTTCAAAAGTAAAAGAAAGACTCCCTCCCTGGTACACAATCCCCCCACCCCAAGTACATTCCACTATGCAACCTTAATTGTGGACTCTTGTGATAACCATAATACCCTATCATACATTGCTTTTAAATTATTCTCTCCCTCATCTGTTTCAGTTTTTCTCAGTCTTACCCCCACCCTGCTATCAGTCCCATTTTACAGCAGTGGCACCATGCAATATTTGTCCTTTTGCGACTGAGATATTTCACTCAGCATAATGTCCTCCAGGCTCACCCATTTTGAATAATATTGAATGAGTTCCCTGTTTTTCAATGCAGTGTAATATTCCACTGTGTGAATATACCACAGCTTCTCTATCCATTCATTTGTTGATGGGCGCCTAGGTTGTTTCCAACTCCTTGCCATTGTAAACAAAACTGCGATAACATGGGTATGCATATATCTGCTTGGATGTCTGTTATGGTCTGTTTAGGGTATATTCCCAGTAGTGGAATTTCTGGGTCAAATGGTATCTCTATTTGCAACTTTTTGAGAAAGTGCCATACCGCCTTCCACAGAGGTTGCACCATTTTACACTCTCACCAACAGTGAATCAGGGTTCCAGTTTCTCCACAACCTCGCCAGCATTTGTTGCTTGCTGTTCTGTTAAATTTTGCTATTTTGACTGGGGTGAGATGATATCTCATAGTTGTTTTAATTTGCATCTCTCTTAGTGCTAGGGATTTTGAACATTCCTTCATTTGCTTGTTTGTTGGCCATCTCAGTGTCTTTGGTGAAGTGTCTGTTCACATCCTGTGCCCATTTTCAATTGGATTATTTACCTTTATCTTGTTGTGGTGCTCAAGTATTTTATAAATTCTAGATATAAGTCCCTTATCTGACGTGTCATTACCAAATACTTTTTCCCAGTCTGTGACTTCCATCTTTACCCTGTTGGAGAAGTTTTTGGGTGTGCATAGGAATTTGATTCTTAGAAGGTCCCATTCATCTATTTTATCTTCTCCTAGTTGTAGATTTTTTAGGATACTTGGAAGACTGTTTATGTTGTGGATTAGGACTACTAGAGTTCTTCCAAGCTTTTCTTTAATGAAGTTTTTAGTCCTTGGTTTTAGTCCTAGGTCCATGATCCACCTTGAGTTGGTTTTTGCATATGGAGTGAGGTATGGATCTTGCTTGATTCTTCTGCATATATGCCAACACCATTTGTTAAAAAGGCTGTCATTCACACCCATGTTTATCGCAGCGCTGTTCACAATAGCAAGGAGTTGGAAACAACCCAGGTGCCCATCAGCAAACGAATGGATAGAGAAGCTGTGGTATATTCACACAATGGAATACTACGCTGCATTGAAAAACAAGGAACTCATTCAATATTATTCAAAATGGGTGAGCCTGGAGGACATTATGCTGAGTGAAATATCTCAGTCACAAAAGGACAAATACTGCTTGGTGCCACTGCTGTAAAATGGGACTGATATCAGGGTTGGGGTAAGACTGAGAAAAACTGGATAAATTGTGTATACCGCACTGAAACAGATGAGGGAGAGAATAATTTAAAAGTGATGTATGTTAGGGTATTATGGTTATCACAAGAGTCCACAATTAAGGCTGCAGAGTGGAATGTACTTGGGGCAGTGGGAGGGGTGGGGTGGGATTGTGTACCAGAGAGGGAGTTTTTCTTTTACTTTTCAAAGAGAGGAGCGAACTGGGGGGCGGGGGATGTGGGCAGGAGAGAAGTGCAGCAATGAATGAATGGAAATCCAAAACCTCTGTAAATGTTGATTAAAATTATTAAAATTTAAAAAATTACCAACCACCCCCGCCAAAAAAAAACTAGTCCTTATAAGCCTTACTTGGGGGTTACATAGCAAACTAAAAGAAATTTCATGGGAACATATTGCAGGAAAGGATCAGGACAAAGGCAGCAGAAAAAGCAATTCTCTAAGTCTTATGTAAAAAAGTAAACTTACCCATATCATCATCAAATATAGACTTTGTCTCCACTTTCTTTTTGGGCTTTTCTTTTGGTTTTACAGTTAAGTTAGCAAAGATATCAATGTTATCATCAAATAAGTTGGATTCCAGTGTTTTCTCCTTCTTTTTTGTTTTTTGTGATGGTTTGACTGCTTCTGTTGCAAATATATCATCCTTGTTTAGCCAAAAAGCAAGTGAAAGAATGTTAAATTAGTCTGTCTCATTAAAAATACTTCAACAAGTTATGAAATGCAAATGGGCAATGTTCTGGACTTCTCCTTTGGAACAGTTACTCCAGGGCCACCTGTGCCTGGAAGAGTGCACTCCTGATCTCTGCATGGTGACAGCCCTCACTCTTCTAGTCTAAGCTTTATGGCTACTACCTCTGCCAAAGAGGCCTTCTCTAACAATCTTCTCTCTCAAATAGCCCTCCCTCCCTGAAATCCCCTCAGCTCTGACCCACTGCCATGGGTTGTTTTCTTAGATCATAAAAACATCTTAAATTGCCTTCTGCTGTTTCTATCCCTTTACTCTCTCTGGGAGAGTCAAACACCTTGTACCTCTAACACCAACAAGCTCAAACATCTGCTCAGCATGTGCCTTAGAAGGCCTTTACTGCACTCAACTTTGAGCTCCATGACCACAGTTGAAACACTCAAGTGGACTGATACACTTTTATATATGTCCCAGAGTGACATTCTAAAGCAGTAGAATCACACAACAAATTTTCAAAGACAATAAAAATCAAAACCGAATCAACTGTTAAGGCCAAGAACTATGCCCTTTATGATACAACAACAAAAATCACTTCTGAGTAAATTTCAGAATTGTTAATAAAAGAATCTTATCATTACCAAGTAAGCAGGTGTCAAGCATCCATGAAATAAGCCTGATGTAAGTTGTAGCTCATGAGTCTATCAAATATTTTCCTTAACATAAAATGAGGCATAAAAATGTATTGGGATTGCACTGTTACCTCAAAAATATCTGGTGCTTTGAATACAGCATCCTGTTGATTAGTGGATTTTGACTCATTTTTCTTGCCTTTCTGATCTGTAAAGAGATCATCTTCATCTTCCAGGAGAGGAAAGGGACTGACTTTCTTTGCTGGTTTTGGCTTGACAGACTGGAAGAGGTCATCATCACTGCCTGTTTCATCAAGAGCAGAGAAAATAGAGCTCTGCTCTTTATGTCCCTGTGGCTGGCTCACTGGGGCCTCTGCTGTCTTCTCCTTAACTGTTCTCCCAATGGACTGAGACTCAGTGCTCTTGGAAAAGACATCTTCAGATTTGAAAAGGTCATCCTCAAGAGGCTGATCTAGAGATTTTACAAAGGGACTACTTTCCAATTTTGGCACAGTACCACCTTCCAGAGTCAGAGTGGCAGTTGTCACCAAGTTATCTTCTACACCGGTAACACTGTGCTGTGGTTGGTGGAAATCAGGAGAAATGGAACCATCGCCTAACTGCACAACTGATCCTCTGGTGACACTTATGTCCTCTGTCTCACTGGATTCCTGGGCTGCCAGTCGCCGAGCTGCCCGGGTCTGGGGTCTGCGTCTTCCTCTCACTTTGACTCGGCTCTACAATGGCATAAAATCAGATGTTGATTTGAAGATCAAAATTTAAAAAGTATTCCAAGCAATGTGGAAAATTTGATCAGTGACTCAAATAGTGATAAGTTTATATAATTCACTACAATCAAAATAATACCTATGAAACAGAAGGGGATATTTTTGAAGGAAGATTTTTTTATTGCTATCAGAACTTCAAGACAAAATCATTCTTAATCTTTCAGTGATTCTTATTTTTTAATCTTGAGTGCAGTTTCAGCTCCATTCCACACAAATTACTTCATGTACCAAAGGAATTCCAGAAAGAGAGTATGTGGGTACTCTGTACCAGATAATCCTCCCTTGCCTTTACTTTGTCCTTAATTTTGAGTGGTATTAAACATTTTATTAAGGGGTTAGTCTAAAATCAGGTTCCAGAGGCAGGGAGAAAGACAATAAGCAAAGGAAGGTGCTGTTTTCTTCAAATCAGCAAACACTAAATAAAGAAAATAAAATAGATAAAATTATGGCTTAGAAATCAAAACTCTCAAAGTATCAGTTTTTAGCATCATGTTATATTCATGATAATGTCCAAATTACATAATCAAGTAGTTTTGAGAAGGCAAAGTACGTGACTGGGCTATTTTTGCCAATTTCAAAGAAGTCTTACAAATAACATTAGAAAGAGCCAATTTAAATGTAACTAAAATAGTTAATGGGGGGGAAAGTAACAGAGATGACAAGGATTTTCACATAGTTTCCAAAGGGAAAACAAGTTTGGAAATATTTGGTCTGTATGAACAGAAGATTCCAAAAGGATGCTCGGAATGAAAAAGCAAAATACTACAACGAAATATGCGAGGAGCTAGAGTCAGAAAATCAAAAGGGCCGAAGTCGCTCAGCATTTCTTAAGCTCAAGGAACTGAAGAACAAATTCAAACCTAAAGTAGCTGTACTCAAGGATGCTTTGGGCAGAATATTAAATGATCCAGGAAATATTAAAAGAAGATGGAAGGAATATACTGAGCCACTATATAGAAAGGAATTGGCAGATACAGAGGAATTTAAAGAAATAACATGTGAGCAAGAGCCTATGGTGATGAAGGAAGAAGTTCAAGCTGCTTTGAAGGAAATAGCAAAAAATAAGGCCCCAGGAATAGATGGTATACCAATTGACATATTTCAGATAAAAGATGTTGCCCTGGACGTGCTCACCAAGTTGTGCCAAGAAATACGGAGAACAACAACTTGGCCAACTGACTGGAAGAGATCTATATTTGTTACCATTCCAAAGAAAGGTGACCCAACTGAGTGTGGAAACTACAGAACAGTGTCATTGATTTCACATGCAAGCAAGATTCAACTGAAGATTATCGAAAAACGATTAGAACAGCACATCAGCAGAGAACTGCCGGAAGTCCAGGCTGGGTTTAGAAGGGGTCGTGGTACTAGGGATATTGTTGCTGATGTTAGATGGATCTTGGCTGAAAGCAAAGAATACCAGAAGAATGTCTATCTGTGCTTCATTGATTATGCAAAGGCATTTGACTGTGTGGATCATAACAAACTGTGGCTGACTCTGAGAAGAATGGGAATCCCAGAACATTTAATTGTGCTAATGCGAAACCTATACTTGGACCAAGAGGCAGTAGTCAGAACAGAGCAGGGTAACAATGCATGGTTCACAATTGGAAAGGGTGTGCGCCAGGGATGCATCATGTCTCTATACCTTTTCAACATGTATGCAGAGCAGATTATCCGAGAGGCTGGGCTCTATGAGGAGAATTGTGGCATCAGGATTGGTGGAAGATCTATTAACAGTCTGCGTTATGCAGATGACACAACCCTGCTTGCTGAAACTGAGGAAGACCTCATGCACTCGCTGCGAAGGGTCAAGGACCGCAGCCTTCAGTATGGACTGAGGCTCAATGTCAAGAAGACAAAGATTCTCACCACTGGACCAATTGGCAGCGTCAGGATGGATGACGAAGAGATTGAGATTGTTCACAGCTTCAGTTTGCTCGGCTCCACAGTCAACACTCTTGGCACCAGCAGTCAGGAAATCAAGAAGCGTATCGTGATGGGAAAGTCTGCTGTTAGGGACCTCTCTAAAGTACTCAAGAGCAACAGTGTCTCTCTGGAGACTAAGGTGTGCCTGATACAGGCCATGGTTTTTGCAATCACTTGTTATGCATCAAAGAGTTGGACAATGACTAGGGAGGATAGAAGGAGAATTGACCCCTTTGAGCTGTGGTGCTGGAGAAGAGTATTGAATGTACCATGGACTGCCAAGAAAACAGATTCATCCTAGAGAGGGTTAAACCAGGCTGCTCCTTGGAGGCAAGGATTCTGGGGCTTCGTCTGACATACTTTGGACATGTTGCCAGGAGGGATGGGTCCTTGGAGAGGGACATCATGTTTGGGAGGGTGGAGGGACGGCACAGGAGGGGAAGACCCTCTATGAGATGGATTGACTCGGTGACTGGGGTAATCAGGATGGGTGTGTCAGAGGCAGTGCGGTTGGCGCAGGATAGAGCAGGGTTTAGGGCTGTTGTGCATAGGGTCGCTATGAGTCGCAAACGACTCGACGGCACATAACAACAACAACAACAATGCATTTTCCAGAACTATCCTACATACTATTGCTTACTTAACTCAAAATCATCCCCTTTGAATACAGAGTGACTCTTAGCTGACCCTCCAGGAGGCTTTCAGGGCTGTAAGTTGCATAGGAGATAGCCCATCTTTGTCCTGAGGGGCCTTTGGTCGATTCAAACTGCCAGAGACGTTCAACCTTAATGTCAGCGTGGCACATTCCTACAGACCACACCACCAAGAGCTCTGTGTTGCTTACTTAAGAGACCAGCTACGACTTTCTAGAACAGTGAGACCTAACCTGGAGGACACAAGGAAAAATTTTACAGAAGTAGTAAACTTTGAGAAGAGCTTGCGGTGAGAACAAGAACCCTGGTCACAGGAAGTGGACAGAGCTTATAGGCAGCAGGTGTGCCCAAGCCCAGGCTTTAAGTGGGTGACTGCCATGGTGTGAAACTGAAAACATAGATTAGCATGGGATGTACAGGCTTTCAACATCAAACCAAGAAGTAGAACGTCATTCTTCAGGCTGAGTGGAGCCAGCAGAGAAATGATGTTAGGCAATGTATAATTGAGGAGCAAGATAGCTACATTAAAGTAGTTCTGTCTTGAGGCAAAAAAGAAAGCAGGCAAGGTTTCCTCACCTTATTTGCACTGTGTAAGGTATCGGCCTGTGCTGGAAGATCAAAACTCACGCCAGCTTCCGCACTTTCGGGTTGTGATGAAGAAAGCGCTAATTCGGACAACACAGGCTTTGCTTCAGTGACCTGGGGCACCACTGAAGGCAGCAAGGTTGCTGGGTTAATCACTAAATTTGCCTGAAGAAGAAAAATGAAAGTTACTCTGCATTCTTTCTTAAACAACAGTCTATTATAATTAATGTGCATATGAAAAGAGACTAGGTGTACACATGACAAGAGGAGAAAGAGTAATGCATAAAGTTTGACCATCTCCAAAAATTAAACAGTTATACGACCATACCCACCACTGAGTTCAAAGAGGAAATGTTCAAGACACAGCACACAACAAACAACAACCAGAAGGTTGGGGGAAGAGAAAAGAAAATGCTTGGCAGCATTTGACCAAAATAAAAATAAAAAAAAGTTTATAGATGCCACAAGGCAGAAAAAGAAGACTCTAAAATTGTTATAATTACTTGTATTTTCCCGATCCGAGTGGATGGTTCTTTGGTTTTAAATGCTGCGGGACCTGATGAGTCCTGTGTGAAATTACATTCAGTTAAAATTCATTGAGGCAATAGCATGTAAAGTGTCTCTTGGATTATACCAACTCCTGTACACTCCTCTGTTGTAGAATAAAGCTCATCATCATTCTGCAGCTCTATAAAGGAAAAGGCATCCAAACCCAACCTGGGGTCTCAAAATATTTCTTCACTCCACGGTCAACACTCTTGGTACCAGCAGCCAGGAAATCAAAAACTGTATTGCGATGGGATAGTCTGCTGTTAGGGACCTCTCTAAAGTACTCAAGAGCAACAGTGTCTCTCTGGAGACTAAGGTGTGCCTGATACAGGCCATGGTTTTTGCAATCACTTGTTATGCATCAAAGAGTTGGACAATGACTAGGGAGGATAGAAGGAGAATTGACCCCTTTGAGCTGTGGTGCTGGAGAAGAGTATTGAATGTACCATGGACTGCCAAGAAAACAGATTCATCCTAGAGAGGGTTAAACCAGGCTGCTCCTTGGAGGAAAAGATTCTGGGGCTTCGTCTGACATACTTTGGACATGTTTTAAGGAGAGACAGGTCTTTAGAGAGGGACATCATGCTGGGTAGAGTAGAGGGGCAGCGCAGGAGGGGAAGACCCTCTATGAAGTGGATTGATTCCGTGACTGGGGTAATCAGGATGGGTGTGTCGGAGGCAATGTGATTGGCACAGGATAGAGTAGGGGTTAGGGCTGTTGTACATAGGGTCGCTATGAGTCGCAAATGACTCGATGACACATAACAACAACAACAAACATCAAGTCACTTATCCCTTCTCATTTGCAGTATAAATAGAAGTAGTTAGGTTTTACATGGAGTAAAGGGAGACAAAAATGGAGTGAGGGGGAAAGATTCACAAGAAGCATGTTTGATCAGGGTACCAAAACCTAACAAATAGGTTGAACTGCTATGCTGGTTATCCAACACAGCAAGAATCTATCTGAGGCTTGAGAAAAGTCACTGGAGATCTGCTAGTCCAGGTGTCTAATTTCAGGACATGATAGCCTCAGAGAGACATGCAGTGGCTTCTGGTCAGTTGTATTCTCATCTATAAACCTGGTCTATTCCAAGATTGTACTTGTCTAAGGAGAGAGGCCTAGCAACAATAATTCCAAAGAAGAAACAATGAAAGGTATGGTATTACTGTGTCACATTTAATCCTATTCCAAGGTGTCCTAGAGGATAAAACTGAGGTTCTTACTAAAAGACTATCGTCCTCTCTTAAATCTATACTGAAAATGATAAAAATAACTCTGAAAATAATAATGGCATATACTGAGTCATGAAGATGAACCCAAAATAAAGAAGAGTTGGAAGTTCAGTAAAGAAAGAGAGGAAGGCCAAGTTAATGCTTTCTCTTCATTGGAGAAAATTCTAAATTATTTTAGGGTTTCATAATGGAGTTTATTTATTTTGAGGAATGAACAAGAGCTGAATATCCTGTAAGCACTCAGTTCCCACCTGAGGTGTTTCCAATTTCTTTATGTCATTTTCTTTGATACCCTGAGTAGATTCGGGATGCTTCTGGTTCTTGAAAGATGAGACAGGGAGGTCTTTTTGCACTACCTTCTTTTCTGGTACCTTCAAAATAAAACAAGTACCCAAAATCTGACCAGTTTCCTAAGAGTTTTTTCAAAAAACTCAAATCATTGTACAGAAAAAGAACCTCACTTCTAAAAACTCTTTCTTCAATGAGTATTGCATTTTCTTGAAAACAGTTACTCTGAAAGAACATTCTAAAGAATTCTATTTATGATAAAAAGAGAGTATTTACTGAGGTAGGGGAAATTACACACACAAAGACTCAGATTAAAGCCTTATACTGGAAAGGTGTATCTATTTTAGTAACCACAATGTATAGATTTTAAGAAACAACTTTAAAATAAAACACATTTATACCACACTGAGAAAATCTTAATAAGTAACTGATTTAGATTTTGAAAAAGGTAAAGTAAGATGGGAAACAATAAGAACAGTTCCACCCAGCAATTATTCCCTCATCAGCACATTATTCACCTCTCTTTTATTAGTAAGCACCATCTCTCTATGGGTTTTCCCTAACCATAAAGCAACATATTAACATCCTTTCCTACAACCTTCCCACACTCTCCGTGTACCAAAGGTTGAAGCTTAGCAGAGCTGAAAAGATCATCATCTTCATCATCCTCAAAAAGGCTTCCAACATGTGGCTCTAATGACTAGAAGGAACAGATAAAATTTTAATTCAAGACTCAAAACAAAAAACATGAATTAGATATTCATAATATCTAATATATTAACCAAATTATAATGTGGGTAACTAACCCTGGGTTTTTTTGTGCCAGTGAACAGGTCAACATCTGGGTCATTGTCCTTTTGTAGTTTATGACTGAAAAGGAGCTCTTCATCCTGAAAGACACCCGTGCTCTTGGGGCGGGCATCAGAATTGAGATTCTGAGGAAAAGAGATGAAGTCAGCCATGTAATCAACCATCTCAAGAAAATCAGAAAGAGAGGTATAGACATGCACGGCAGCCTGAGTATCAATCAGTAGGGACCTGAATATATTCATGCAATGGAATACAGTGTAGCTGTTAAAATGAGTTGTTGTTGTTTTTGGTACCATCTGATTGGGATCAACTCATAGGTGACCCTCTAGAGGGTTTTCAAAGGCTGTAAATCCCTTGGGAAGAGATTGCCTATTTTCCTCCCCAGAGCAGCGAGTGGATTCGAACTGTCCGTCGTTGGGTTAGTAGACCAAGTCCTTATAACTAAGCCACCAGAGTACAAAGTATATTTATAGAAAGTACATATATAACCTAGAAAGATCTTCATTCAAGTTTTTTTTAAAATGCCTGTATTTGTTCATTAGAAACAAAAACCTTTTAGTTCTATAATGAAAATAATTACAGGGGGAAAGCACATGAAGTTAAACAAGTTCTATCTGACTGGTAATCTCTCAGGGAGTTGTACTTCTGACCCACAGGCAACACATCTCTGATACTCAAATCCACCAGTTTCTCTGCATGAGAAAGATGGGCAATCTCACCTGTGTAATTTACAGCCTCTGATAACCTGTTGGAAGGTCAGCAATGAGCTGGTTCCAACTAAAAAGTAATTAGTTATTTTGAGATCTCATTCTCACAGGAAAAAAAAAAGTTAACAGTTTAATCTCAGCCACTGATTAGAGGGGTTATGTGTGCATCCCAATCCCATCATCATTAGCTGAGAGCTGGTTCTGACTTAATGGAAAATAACAATAGCATTCAGTATTTGCCAGAAGTCTTGGCGACAGAATTAAAGCAAGTAAGGAAGAATGAAAAAGAAAAAAAGAGGAGGGGGGGGCAAAGAGAATGCAATTTTTCAAATAAGAAGTAAAACTGTTCCTATTTGTAGATTATATGATTTGTTGTTTTTGTTGTTGTTGTTGTTGCTAAGTCCCGTCAAGTTGTAAACAACTCAAAGCGACCCCATGAACGAAGGACCTGAACTCTTGTATAACTCTCATCGTTTCTCCATGTTCATAGAATTTCTGGAGGCAAGTTATTTTGAAAGTGGATGCCACTCTGCTTTCAAGCTTGTTTTAATTGGGAAGCTCAACCAAACACTGTGGACCATGAGTAACCATTATCACATTTGACACATCAGTGTCACAGTGTTTAACATTACAGCAACCATGAATTACCTCTGTACAGCAAATGAACAGACCACTGCTATACCACTTAGAAGAATGTTTGACCAAAAACAATTAAAACCGGCCTGAGTGCCACAGATTTAAATCACCCACCTTTGGCTTGTTAGCATAACTTTCTATCCACTAGGCCAGTAGAGCTCTCTCTGTGTTGCTGCTGTTATTGCTGTTAAGTGCTGTCGAGTCAGAGATGACTCATAGTTACCCTATGAATGAAAGACCTGAACACTTGTATAACTTTCATTGTTTCTCCCTGTCCAACAACAACAGCATGATTCTATATAGAGAAAAAAATCTCAAAAACTCAGACAGAATATCACTAAAACAGTTTGAAAAAGTAAGCACATTATTAGTAATTTGTTTTTGATAAAAAAATGGAAAAAACAATCTCTTTAATAAACAATGCTAGCAAAACTTGCTATCCATTTGCAGAAAAACAAACAAGGTCAATGTTTTACAATATATACAAACATAATTCAAGATGGATCAAAGACCTAAATATAAAGCCTAATCTATAACAAGAATGGCCTATCAAATGTAACCAAACATGAACAAACAGTAGAAGATATAAGCTAGACAACTGAGGTCTTCTCAAAATTAAATTTTTATGTACATCAAAACACTTCTCCAAGGTGATTAATTTTATAAAACACAATGTATGGGATTGATTGTATGAAACACAATGTCAATGAAGGAAAGTGTGAAAAATACAAACATTATTTAAAAAAGAATAAATTTAAAAAAATAACATATAGAGTGGCTAAAAAAGATTTGGTAGAGATATGTCTGACAAGGAACTTATCTTTAAAATTTATAGTAGCAACTCCAACACAAAAAGATAAACAACTCAATTACAAAATGGGAAGAAAACATTAAAAGATACAAAAGATTTTCAGATGGCTAACACACATATGAAGGAATAATCAAGATAATTAGATAGTAGGGAGATGAAGTAACATCTTACTTCAGCAATAATAGAAAAGTTCAATAGGACAGTAGACAACAAATGATGGTGAGAAGACTGACTAGTCTTCTATGGGCTTGAGGATGATGAAGTCTGTAAGGATGGCCAGGATTGAACAAGGTTAAAAAGTCTCTATGAGTCACAGTACACATTAAGGGAAACCATGAGAGAATAAGCCATAGTCCTTAAGGCTTAAGGACCATAGTCTCTGAGAACATTAAGGTTAAAAATGGATTTTAAATGATTTCTAAGGATTTTCTACATGTAAACTCATGTCATCTGCAAAACTAAAAGTATTACATATTCTGCTTTCTACTTTTTTTTTTTTACATATTACATAATCTGCTTTCCTTTCCTTTTCTGGCATAATTGTCTTCCCAGCAAGTGGTGAGAGCAGACATCCTTGTCTTATTCTGGAACTTGAAGGATAGGAACATGTAGTCTAACTAATGAGTGTAATTTAGACTATGAGTTTGCACAGATGGCCTTTATCAGGTTTTATGCCTGATAATGGAGAATGTTGGAATTTGTCAAATACTTTTCTGTGTCTACTGAAAGGATTCTGTTCTTTATTACTTTTTGCTCACCTTTTGTACTTCTCTCTGTGGAGAGAGAATATTGCTTTGCTCTTGTGTTTTATCCTCTTCCTCATCAAACAAACTAAGAACAGTTTTTATTCTACCCTTGGCTTCTTTGTCCAGTGAAGATGATGAAGTAAGTGTATCACAAAATTTGACTGCTGGCTTAGTAGATATGGCCACAGGCACTTCCTGAAAATGCAAAGGAGACAATAAATAAGACCTAGATATATAAACTTTATTACAAGGCATTGCAAGCTGCTCCATACTTTAATTAACATGCATATCACATGTTTACTTGCAGATCATAAAATACTGAGGTTAATAGTTCACAGACATGATTTTACTCCTCAGTTTTGAGCCATGAGTAACACCCATGTGTTACTCAAGTGAAGGAAATATAACCTCAATCCACACAATCACTCATGAGGTACAAGTCATTTCTAAGTCATAGAGAGAACACAAATGTCAAAAGTTGGGAGGTGATCATAAATTTTTTAACACAACACTAATAATACACTATTAAATAATATGGCACTGTGAGATTTGGATGTTATGTGAATACTATATCAATACTTTACAGGAATTGACTTCCAGTTATCCTAATTGCTGCTGCTGGAGCTCCTGACAGAGGTCAGAGGAAGGGGTACTGTCAGTGGTGGCAGCTGAGAGAGGCAAGAGAAGCAGAGAGAGAGTACTTAGCCTTGCCTGCTGTTCCTCCTGCCCAAGCAGCCCAATCAGGTCCAAATCTTCCACTGGACACAGAAATGCCCCACACCATATCCTATGCCTCACCTGTCTGTACACCATCAACAGCCCAGTGCTGCAAGAATATGGATTTGGAGTCTCTGAAACCACTCTCTCGCTTTCAATGTCAGTGAATTGGAACCATCCATTGAGTTTCTGGAGGCTGTAAATCTCATAGGAAAGACTGCCCATCTTTCTCCCTTGGAGCCACTATTCCTTTAAACTATGCCAACCTGAAAGCACTTAAACTATTAGGCAGAAATAGTAAACAAAAAGAGAGCTACTTTCCCTTTGAGGAAAAATTCTTTTAGGATATCGTACACATACATGTGGTTGGATAGTGTGTGAATTAAGTTATGTACACACTTGAATTTACTAAATACTTAAATCTGAAGGGAAAACTTATAAAATCAGGCACATACATACACATACACTATTAGGAGAATCTCTAACATAATACTGAAATGAAACATTTATGCATTAAGTATCAAATTCAGCTAATATACCAGTTACCATAAGCAGTATCATTAATGTAACACCAAGAAGAAAATTCCCATTTAAAATATAACATGCTGTCAATAATGACCGGTACCCCAAGTTAAGAGTAGTTAAGTGACAAAAAAATATCAACACCTTATAAGAAATTTGTTATTTATAAAGTATCTATTGGACATATGTTGATGTGCTATACTACAGATATAATTGTCAAAACAGAACTAGTGCCAATCCTCAAGAGCTCATAGGCAGGGAAAAGGTACTATAATAAGTAACAAAAACCAAATATGGAACTCCCTATGACTGTAATAAGTCAGGTGCTGCAGGAATATAAATAAAGGATCTAGAATTCAACTACAGGGAAAGATAACATCAAACAACCCAGGTATAATCTAATGCTGTCATCACTGCAGTCTCAAGGAGCTTAAACAGAAAAGAAAAACTAGTATTCTATAGATATCCTCTAGGAAAAAGAGTAAACCTCACTCAGTATGTGGACACAGTAGGACCCCAGTGTACAAGAAAAAGGAGGAGAAAAAGTGTCCAGAGACAGAAGACAATTGTATATAATAGATTCCCACACTAGGTCAGCGATGTCATCTACTGGTTTCTCAAGGGAAGATAATTCAAGAGAAGAAAGCTAAATTTTAGGAGAAAAACAAATTTCACTTATTTTGTGATTGATAATATTTTTAAAAGAATTCCTTTTTTTTGGTGGTCTTTGTTCTAGAGGGGAAAAACATTGGATAGACTGTTACCTTAAGTAGTAAGGAATTACTGCTGCTGTTGGATCCTACCTTAAAGGTTCTGTTACATTTTCTACTGTAAACAGCCTGGTCTAACACTTTTTGACTGGTAGGCTGTATCCTATGAATGCTAAGAACTTTGAAGGATTTGGTCAATACAATGTGTAAATAAATTGATTATAGGCAATGCAAATGAGGTGTCTGTGACCTACCAAGTGAGAACTAGTGACCTTGTAGACAAGCTCCTTCATGGGAGGGGCCAATCTGAAAATGAGCAGTTTGTGTGAGCCCAACTGATGTTTTAGGGACAGAAGCAGGAAGGAGTACAAAGAAGTGAAAAGAGAAAACAAAGCAGCAGCAGAAAGGAGGCAGTAAAAGTCCTAATAGAGCTGTGACACATGTCAAGGGCTGCAACACTGAAGACAGCCAGAGGCCTAGAAAAAGGGCCTGTGGCGAAGCTTGTGGTGAAGCCTGTGGCACAGGCCTAGAAGTAGCCTTGCAGCACAGAGAGCACAATCAGTTGGAGGCCAAAAGGATTCGGTCCCAGGGAGGCTGAATACCCCATGCTGAGGGGCTTGAGGTGAGGCCTGCATGCTCAAGAGCAATTGAGAGAGCTGTCTGGCACTGAAGGACACTGGCGTCTGCCTACTCAACTCCTGATCCTTACTGTAGTTTTAGCCTTTTAATCCTGCTCCCAAGCTGTCCTCTGCTTCTTAAGAAATTATTTAGCCGAAAGCACAGCAGTGAGTTCTTCATGACCATTACAACAGATTATTAAGCCCAGAAAAGAGGTACAGTGTAACAGCTGTACAGAAGTACAGTGAGAGAGCTGGTGTTAGAATTGGTAGAAACTTTGGCAACTGTTGTCTGGAGAGTTCAGCTCTGGGCTGATCTAGATTAGTAGCATCTTCCTTGAATTTACAGAATCCAATACTGAATATTTCATAGAAAAATTACTGTAAAACTTTCTGAAACTCTGAAAAAAGTAACAATCAATAAGAGGCTAGTTTTTAGTGCCAAGGTTAGATTATCATAAATCTATATGGCACTTGTGAAACAGAAATGATTATTATGAATAAAAAGTCTAGAAATACAGAATGCCTTGTGGATAGTATAGGTATGGCTTGTTTGAAAAGAAGCAAAGGGGGAAAAAAGTTTTTAATCAGTGTTGTGAGCAAAACTTGCAAATGTGTTACACAAGAGCTAATGATTTTGTTTGCTACTTTGTACTCTCGGGCCTGTCTTTCATTGTTTTTGTTCAGACATTCCTCTAGGTCGTATAGCCCTGGTGTACAAGTTGCTGTACTGCGGTCACTTTTGGTTGCTGTGAGGCTGAACACTGTGACACTGATGTGTCAAATATGTTAATGGTTGGCTACCCAATGCAGACAGAGTGGGGTAGAGCTCCCCAATTAAAACAAGCTTGGAAGGAGTGGCATCCACTTCCATAAGAGCTTGCCTCCGGAAACCCTATGAACCTGGAGAGAGGATGAAAGGCACCCAAGCATCGAGGACTCGCCTTCATAGGGTTGCTATGACTTGCCTGCAACTCGACAGCCCTTAACCATAACATCAACATAGAGAGCGAGCAGCTGGCCCAGTGGACAGGAAGCGATGCTACCAAGCCAAAGGTGGGTGACTTTTAATCCACGGCCCTCTGGTCTGTCTTTCATTGTTTTTGTTCAGACATTGCTCTAGGTAGTATAGCCCTGGTGTACAAGTTACCGTACAGTGGTAACTTGTGGTTGCTGTGAGGCTGAACACTGTGACACTAATGTGTCAAATGCATTAATGGTCAGTTACCCAATGTAGAAAGAGAGTGGGGTGGAGCTCCCCAATTAAAACAAGCGTGGAAGGAGGAGTGGCATCCACTTCTGTAATAGCTTGCCCCCAGAAACCCTATGAACCTGGAGAGAGGATGAAAGGCACCCAAGCCTTGAGGACTCTCCTTCAAGGGTCGACTCAACAGCACTTAACAAACAACATCTTGTACTCTAGGATCCCAAATTCTTTTAACTTAATCAAAGAATAGAAGGTGATTTTCAGTTTTATTTTAATTTTAGTATATTTAATGTTTCTTAATTCTTTGAAATTTGTTAGTGAATGCATATGACAGGGAACTCTGCAAGTGTAGCTCATAGGGAGTTATGTTGCTAACCCAAATGTGGTGCCTCCCTGGTGGTAGAAAGATGGGTAATCCCTGCCCTTGTGATTTACAGACTTGCTAGCCGGCTGGAGGATCAGCTAATGAGTTGGTTCTAATTTGATGGCAATTAGAAGAAGAAAAGAAGGATGTATGTGATCTGTACTTATTAGTCAATACATTATCTATAATATATTTTTAACAGTTGAAGCATTCTTGGTTTCAATAAATAACTCATTCTTGCTAACCTATGTTCAGTTTTCCACTGAGTCAGTTTTGTTAAGTCAGTTGATAAGACACAGGACAGGCTAAAAGATTTGGGTTAAGAATCTGGAAAATAGAACTTTTATTTTATCTGTGTTAGCCAATAAATTCCCTTTCCTAGGCAGATAATTTTTACAGAATATGCTCTCTACAAATAAACTCCAAATCATTTTCTGGCCTTTTTGCTCATTCATGTCCTAAGAAGTTGGTTGATGAGGTTTTTTCATTAATTTTTAATCACGGATTTTTAAATTTTTTTTAATCATTGATGCTTTAAAAAGGAAGATGTAGAAAAAGAGTATTTTCCTATTCTGGGGTCTCATCATCTCTCTAAGTCAGTATATCTTCATTGTTAGTGGCTCTGTAGTTTTCCATGCTAAGATAGATTATAGCTTATTTCCCCAGATAGTTTTGAGATCCCAAGTAACATCGTATTTGATATGTTTGCATATATATTTTTTCATTATTGTGTGATTATATATTTTTTCAAATAATAAAAGTAATTTATTTTTCTCACAATTTAAGAAACATTTTATAATTCAGCCACAGCCTTTACTTCCAAGTGACTTCTTCATTGTCTCTCAATTCTCTTTTATATAACATACTCTTATTGCGGAAGGCAGTTAGTTTTTCGTCATTCCTTCTGTCTAGATAATATCCAATCAAAAATCCTACAGGAAGAAGCACATGAACCCAGTAGTCGCGGACCATGTTCAGTAAAGTCATGATTTCTGCGCCCCAGGCGCCCACAACAACCCCAAGATCAAGGGCAGCAGCGAGCTCAGTTGTGTGATTATATTTTTAAAATATATTTTGGTTTGCAGTCATTCATATACATTATTTTATATAATCATTCATGTACATTGTATTTTATAATTACTACTGATCTATGCCTATATTA